AAAGACGAAGGTCAAGACGTTTTTTTGCAGATTATAGCTTAATCGTAAAAATAATCATTTAAGACCACATGTACCCCAATTAAAATAATGTTAGTCTCTTTTTGATGTGGGACTTTTACATGTTTGTCTAAAAAATAGGGAATAAATAAAATTGAAAGGTGATATCCTCTTGAGCAAACCCTGATGTTGATACGCTGAAGAAATACGTTCCAACATCCATTCTTCCCACTCCTATTTTGGACATCAATTGCTTATGTATTTTGCATAAACTATGTATAATTACATTGCTTTTATTTTGTTTTTGTTTTTTATCTCAAATGTCCAAATAATAATAATAAAAAAACATGAATCAAAACATTTATTCAGCATTAGCACGGCTGTCATGGCAATGTGAATGGAGACGGACAAACAACTGATAAAATAATTCCCTGTGTTTGCTGCTGGATTTGGTGTGAATCTGGCTACCTGAGTCAGGGAGAGTGGGAGAGGACTACAAAATATTGACTGTGACTGCAGTACCGCTTTTGGCCAGATTTTTACATATCGTTCCTTTAACTATTCTATAAAGTCACATTCTTTACTATACTTTGTGGCCATCTTCCATTGCCACCAGGGCCTCTGTCAGGAGCAGTGGTCACTACAGAGCAGGCTCCAGGGACCCAGATGTGGCTTCATCAGTACAACTGAAGCTGGAGAGTTTTACCTATGGTGCATGTTGTGGGTGGGGAGAGACACTGGAGCACCTGGAGGAAACCTAACCAGACACGGGGAGCAACTCCACACAAGACCCATTCGTCATGGCCACAGACCGGCACTGACTTGAACAGGAGATAATGGGCCTCATGCCTACGGCCAAATCATGGTGTAAATGATGCGTACGCAAAATATTTACACTTTTCCGCATTTATCAATCTGGACGTAAGCGTACGATACGCAAAAAATATACGCCAGGTCTGGCGTACGCTCATTTCAACCTTCATTACAACACGCCAAAACACGCATGAAATGCAAGATTTGGACAAAAATAAACATATTTCCACTCTGGCAAGATTGTAGGCACACCTCTAAATAATAATAATCAAATACATAATTTGAAGATAATTTTAATTCTTTATATTTTCTTTTGGATGCTTTGGTCTGGCGGTCCTCCCCCTGGGCTGCTGAGCACTTCTTTTATGGGCTGCGCTAAACGCCTTTTGTTACCATTTTAAGGTTGCTCCCTTTTTTTTTCACTTGTAGCATAAATTAATGAATTCTTACTATTGGCCCAATATATCAACTGTTTAATATAATATAGCGTATTTTTCTTCGAACATGAATAAACTCACCTCTTCAGGAGTGCGTGTTGCAGGCCCCACGCTGTTTACAGATGCTGTCATTTCTTTCCATATATTGTTTTTTGAGCCCCTTGATGCCACTTTTGAGAATTCCATATAGTAAGACTTTATTCTTTTTCCCACTTCGTTCATAATGGTCTCAATCTCCTGCTCCGTGAAGTTATTTTTCCTTAGCCGTTTACTCACTAACCAGACCCTGCGCCGTATACGTAATTACACATATGTTTTGCCTCATTCACCTCTGGCAAAGCAATGTGGATTTTCCTTAGTTTTGTGCATAAAGCCCCATAAACACAATTGATCTTGCTCAAAACTGCTCATCCACTGCCCTGTTCTCCGCAGCAGAGATAGGATGCAACGCGCTGATGTGGGAACTGGTTCATTCATTCATTTATTATTTATTTATTTACTTCTAAATTTCAGGAGAGGTGAGTGCTGCAGTGGGTCTAGACACTAGGGAAAAATGCGTATATATAATAGAGCGTATATATATTTTTTAAACGTGAATAATCTCAGAAGGGGGTATTTTTTGAGGCTTCCAAACAGTCTTCTTAGCCGACTTCCTGCTGACCTGTTGCAAAAACAGGGCGTGGAACAGGCAGTTTCTGAATATTTCTACGCGTGACTTTCATAAATACGCTAGTTTTGAGCGCGGCATTTATTAACAGCCGCGGGTGCGTACACTCAGATCTGTGCGTATCTCACACGTTCATAAATGCCACGTCGGATCTTGCGTAAATGGAATATACACCCAAAATATACACCCTTTTCATACATGAGGCCCAATGTGACAGTATTATTTTGAGTTAATGATAATAATAATAATAAAGCATAATACTTAAATAGCGCTTTTTGGACACTTAAAGGTTCCATATTGCTCTCTTCTTCATGTTTCAAAGTCTATCCTACGGACATGTAAATGTAAGTGTGCACTTTATTGTCCCCGTAGAGAAATTCGTCCTCTGCATTTGACCCATCCTGATGCCATTAAAGCTTCCGTCAGGAGCAGTGGTCACCGTAGTACATTGCGTCGGAAACCATTCTCCAGATGTTGATACTTGGCTTGGTCAGAACCAGTGCTTTAAGTGGGCCGGTACACTTCCAAAAGTAGCTCTTGAGCGTACCGCCATCTCTCTGTGCGCAAAGAATGTGCTTTTGCCGTATCGGTACTTAGTCTATGTGTGATAGAGTGGGATACTCTGGTGTGTGCTGATCTGGGCGCCTGCACTGTAAACGGGGCTCCGGTCAGAGAGAAGGGCACGGAGAAGGCTGGTACATCCAGATGGGGAACTTTATTGTGGATATGGAGGCAGTTACAGGTGGGAATGGACCCTGTATGGGTGGATTATGGGTGGGGTGAGTTAGTGTGTGTGGTCAGCGTGTGGTCTGGAACAAGAACAAGTACAAACGAACATTAGAATTTACATAAAGTTGGAACAAATATTTACACTATTTACATATATAATAAAATAATATAATTATAACAAAAAACAAATCTAAAAGAATAAAATAACTATTTACACATATTCAGGACATTAACAGGTACACAGAAACGAGGTGGGGGATCTGACAGTAATTAGCGATCTTGTGGCTCCCTCTAGTGGTCGCGCTATGGCAACACACTAGAGGCGCCGCGTGCTCTGCAGTCACGCTGAGGTGTCAGGTTACACTCCCGCTATAAGGGCAGAGACAGGCCGAAGTGAAAGTAACTTAGCGAACTAAACTATAGAGAACGGAGAAGAATACTAATATGGTGGAACAGGCGATGGGGAAAGGGATATTAGTACAGAAGGCCATATTAGCAGATAATATAAACTATAGTATAACTATTTACAGGCTAATTACATAAATATAGTATTACAAACAACTCGAAAATATACATAGTGAACACAAACAAAGGGCAAGTCACAGAAATACAATTCTAATAGTACTACCTAGTAATGCAAACTTTCACACTTACTTCTGTCTTATGCACGCACACGTCTACTCACACAGGGGAACACAGCAGACTAACCAAAAGAGCAGAGGTGAAAGGGGGGGCAGGTGACCTCACTAGTGACGTCACATAGATTACCAAAATAAAATGGCCAAACAAATAAGACTTTCTGACAATGCCGCCCCCAAATTTATCTCTAAATTTGAAGAAAAAAGAAAGTCTGATTTAGCTGGAGTCTTTTTCGTCTTCCCAGGCTGGCAACCGCACCAGACGCACGACTGGAACAAAAAACAAATAGGGTCTGTAGGTCTGTCCTTTAATGTCCACTTCAGCAGCTCTGACTCGTCCGTCTGAGCCTGGACTTGTCTTCACCACTCGCCCGATGGGCCAATGGGCTCGCGGTAGCTGGGAATAGACAACCATCACCACTTGGCCAGCAGTGACGTTGTCTGTGTCCTTCTGCCATTTGGAACGCTTTTGGAGGTCTGGAAGATGGCGACGAATGAAGTTGGACCAGAAATGGTCCGCCAAGATCTGGCTATGACGCCAGCGTCTCCGGCTAAGTAGATCGCTGGATGCGTAGATGGCCTGCGAGAGCGATGCATCACGTCGTCCCATGAGAAGGAGGTTCGGTGTAATGGGGTCCGGGTCTGCAGCATCAGATGAGATGTACCCCAGAGGCTTTGCGTTGAGTAGTCCTTCAACTTCAATCAGGACCGTCTGCAGCACAGGGTCTGGAACAGTCTGGTCACGGAGTACAACCTGGAGAGCCGTCTTTATGGACCTGATCTCCCGTTCCCACGTTCCACCGAAGTGTGGGGAGCCAGGAGGGTTGAAACGGAACTCGATCTTCTGTCCTGCCAACTGTTCTTGCAGAGGTGCCTCCAGTGCACCGAAACTAGCCTGCAGCTCAGCAGCGCCGCCTCTGAAGTTGGTTCCTCTGTCGGCAAGGATCTCAAATGGCTTTCCGCGGCGTGCGATGAATCGACGGAGAGACATCAGGAAAGCATCCGTGTCCATGCTTTCCACGAGGTCGAGGTGCACGCAGCTTGTGGTCATACACTTGAAAATCAGTCCCCACCGCTTCTCTGTGCGTCGGCCCACCTTAACGTTGTAGGGGCCAAAGCAGTCAACTCCGGTTGACCAGAAGGGGGGTTTGTAAAGGCGGAGTCTTGAGGGGGGCAGGTCTGCCATCTGTGGGACTACAGGTGCAGCGCGCCACCTTTGGCATTCAGCACAGCCATGCTGATGGTGCTTGATGGACTCTCTTCCCCGTAGAATCCAGTATCTTCTCCGGAGTTCAGCGAAGACTCTTTCGGGGCCGGGATGTAGGAGGTCACTGTCATATTTCTTAATAAGAAGCTTGGTGACGTAGTGCTTTGGGTCGAGGATGATAGGGTGTATAGTATCGGGGTCGAGGTCTTCAGCTCTGCGGAGTCGGCCTCCCACTCTCACCAGACCAACAGCTGCATCGTACTCTGGAGCTAGCGTGACTAAGCGACTCTGCCTTGAGATTGGCTTACCAGCAGCGAGAGCGTCCACCTCCTCAGGGAAACTGTCTCGTTGTGACTGTTTGAGTAGATGAAGTTCTGCTGCTAGGACGTCCGCTGCTGTCATCGTAGGGCTGCTATTGTCCTGGGCCGCCCCGTGAAGGGTTTCATGGGTGGCTTTGATGAGACTGACCCAGTAGTGGATGTTGGGGAGGGATGAGGGTGAAGGACACGTTGTTACACCACAGAAGACTGGTTTTCTGAGCTCTTCCTCCTCTTCTTGCGCTTCTTCGATGCGGAGGACGGGCCAAGATTCTGGATGTTGGCGTAGGAAGTCTGGACCTTGACTCCACCGGCTGGGTTTGCTGAGGTTGCGAAGTGGTTTACCTCGGGTCAGGTCGTCTGCAGGGTTGTCAGTGGTGCTGACGAATCGCCAGTTACAGCCTTCGGTCAGATCTTGAATTTCGGCGACTCTGGTGCCCACAAAGACCTTGTACCGGCACGAGTCAGAGTTGAGCCAGTTCAAGACTGTGGTTGAGTCAGTCCAAAGTGTAACTTGCTGGGGGGAGAGTGAGAGCTCTGTCATGGTGACTTTGGCTAGCTGTGCCCCGGCGAGAGCGGCACAGAGTTCGAGTCGTGGCACGGATAGCTGTTTGCGGGGACTGACTCGGGACCGAGCCATCACAAATGCCATGTGTAGGTCACCTCGACCGTCTTGAGTGCGGAGATACCCGACAGCACCGTAGGCTCTCTCAGAGGCATCACAGAAGATGTGTGCTTCTCGTTGGGGTGAATCGGAATCTGCTTCCTGTGGAATGTAGCATCTCGGGATTTCCACTTCTGGGAGGTGGGACAGTTCGCTCTCCCATTGTGTCCACATATCCAGCAGAGCCTCGGGTCGGATGGGGTCGTCCCAGCCAACCCCCACTTTCCACAAGTCTTGGATGAGGATCTTAGCTCGGGTGGAGAATGGGATAAGATAGCCGAGTGGGTCGTACTGGGTTGCCATGACCTTGTAGACGTTCCTCAGGGTCGGCTGTGAGTATTCGACTGGTCTGTGTCGATATCCGAGACGGTCGGTGAGGCAGTTCCAACGGAGGCCTAGGGCTGGCTCTTCTGGGTCTTGGTTGTGTTGTGATAGCCACAGCTCAGTACTGGCTGCTTTAGCTTCGGTCGGGAGTTGTTCGACAACTGAGGGGATGTTGCTAGCCCATTGCCGTATATCGAAGCCACCAGTCGCGAGAAGCTTGCGCATACTGTCAATGAGGGTTCTGGCTCGGTCAGCGTTGGTAAGGCTGGTCATGCAATTGTCGACATAGAAAGCGGACTCCACCAGATGGAGGATGTCTTTGTGATCTTGACTGTTGTCCTTAACGTGCCTTTGGAGGGCGTACGTAGCACAGCAGGGACTGCATGTTGTCCCGAACGGTAAAACCTGCCACTCGTATACAGTCGGTTCTTCTTCCTTCTGCATGCCTCGCCAGATGAATCGGAGTAGGGGTTTGTCTTCCGGCAGCAAGCGTATCTGGTGGAACATCCCTTTGATGTCGCCACTTATAGCTACGCTATGTTCGCGGAACCGAAGGAGTACACCAAGAAGGGAAGGACCTAAGGTTGGGCCGGGCAGGAGTTGGCTGTTAAGACTCTGGCCGTTGTGTTGGTAGGAACAGTTGTAAACAATTCTTGCCTTGCCGTTGTGGTGGACAACGTGATGGGGAAGATACCAGGACTCAGTGGAGCTGTCGACTACTTCAGGTGGGAGAGGTATGGCATACCCAGATTGCTCTAGCTTCTGTATTTCCTGGCAGTAAGTGGCGGTCAGGACATGGTCTTTAGCTAGACGGCGCTCTGTACTACGTAGTTATGGGAGTAAAGTGTTTTTAGGTGCCCAGAGATTGGGACTGGTCTTGCGTCTGAGCAGTGGTGTGGCATACCTCGTCACTCCGTCCACATCGACTTTGATTGTGCGTTGTTCAAGGAGTTCTACGGCCTGCTGGTCTTCTTTGGAACGGGTAGCAGTTTTGGTATTGGTGTAGGGGGAGACGTCTACTTCCCATAAACGTTCGACGTGTAGCTGCAGCTCGGAATTGGGAGACAGGGTGAAGTAGCAGTGTGATTGGTCGGCAGGGAGATGGTTGATGTTGGCTGGACCCTGGAGCGCCCATCCAAGGGCGGTGCACACTGCGAGGGGGCTCCCGGGAGGACCTGCTCGCACTGGTTTTGTGGGGAGGAGCAGATGTGGGAAATCGGAGCCGATCAGCAGTATGGGTTGAACCTTGTCGACGACTGGCAACGGAAGCTTCTGCAGGTGTGAATACTTGCGTTGGAGTGTCTTTACGGGGTAACAGTGCTCGGACAAGCTCAGCTCATCAGCAGTGAAGGCGTGATGGATGGTGTGCCTTGAGTTGGTGGAATGAGCTGGAGAGATGTCGAAAGAGACTGCTGAACCTTGCAGGTGGATAACTTCATGGTGAACGGTGCGTAGAGGAAGACTCTCTGGTTCGGTGGTTAGGTGGAGGTGTCGGACTGCAGAGGGCATAATGAGTGTCCTCTCGGATCCGTTGTCAAGGATGGCAAACCCTTCCAGTGAGTGCTCAGCGTTGTATAGGCGTACCTTTACTAGCTTAAGCATGACTCGTTGTGGACGGCTTGGACGGTCAACGTAGATGGTGTCTGGGGATGTGCTGACCATTAGAACTTGCTTCGGCTCGGGCTGGCTCACTTCATGCAGCACTGTGAGGTGTAACTGTTTGCAAGTGTGGCAGGGTTTCTTCAGAGTGCATGCCTCAGGTGGATGATTTCGTCCACATCTCCAACAGCTTCGGCCTTTGATCCATGCAGAAACGTCTCCCGTGGAGAGTGCTTTGAACTTTGGGCACAGGCTGAGGTAGTGCTCTCTGTTGTCGCAGTAGGGGCAGTATGGCTTGAAGCTAGGGTTAGCCTTGGGAGTGGTGCTACTGGCTGGATTGGGAGGAGTCAGTCTGGCTTGACTCTCTGTGTTGTAGTACACGTTGGATGGGTGTTTCCTCTGGGGCTTCGGCGGATCTTGGAACATGAGCGCTGCCCTGGTAGAGATGCGTTTAGCTTGTGACTTGAGTTGGAGCCAGGCTGAGAAGTCGATAAGAGTGTAGGTCTTATCTGTACCAGTTCTTAGGATGTCGTGGCTGATGCTGTACTCGATGAAACTATCTCGGTAGTTGGCGGGTAGTTTGCTGAGCAGCCGGTCGACGTGAGAGCCGCATCTCAGTTCGTAGCCATTCTCACCCTCCAGGGAACGAAGCATGCCCACTAAAGCTTGTACTGACAGAGCAAAGTCATCAAATGCTTCTGGATCTCCATACCTGATTGGTGGTAGATTCAATATGGCACCCAGTTCACTCTGTACAAGCTGTCGTGGCTGGCCATATTTATCTTAAAGCGCCTGGAGCGCCGATGTGTATGGCTTAGGGTCGTGCATATAAGCTTGGGCGAGTTTATAGGCACTTGGGAGCTTCAAATGGTCAAGGAGGACTTGATATTTGAACTGTTCTGTAAGATGGGCGTGTGAACTGAGCAGATTGTCCAGAGCCATCTTGAGAAGGGTGAAGTCTGATTCTTTACCGGAAGTGAAGTGGGGTAGTGCTGGTTTGGGAATGCCGTATGATGTAGCGATTAGTAGCTCCATTAGATCTGTGCTAGGTGCTCCCCTGAAGCCGGGGGGTGGTGCAGTGACGTGCGGTGGTAGGGGCTGCTGCACGGGAAAAGGTATATTGTTTGTAACCTTTGGCACTGGCTGTAGATGTGGCGGGGGCACGTGTTGCACTCGAGCTTGGGGGAGTGGGACAGGAAACTGCACTTGGGATGGCGGTGGAGCAAAGTTTGGTGCTGGAGTGGGGGGAGGAGGCATGGTGATGTAAGTAGATTGCGTTGTCATAGCAGGAACTTGGACTTGAGGCGCAGACATTTGTGAAGGGGTATTTGAGACGGGGGGATAAACTGCTGTAGTAGTGACTGGGGATGGAGCAGGAAGGTAGGGAGTAGAATGGAGTAGACCAGGGGGGCCCTGTGAGTGTGGTGGTAGATGCAGAGCTCCATCAAAGAGCTTGGGGTTATACTCACAGTCACTCAGGGGCCTCGAGGTGCATGGGCTCGTAATCTCGTCTTCGGTCAGGAATTATGCAATTAGAGCCGCTTTCTCGACTTCCATCTCTTTCTCTTTCAGTCGGCGTTGCAGTATCTGTTGTTTGGAAATAGCCTCTTTTGCCTTGTGTGCCATCTCTTGCTCGTTAAGGGCGTCTCGTGCTTTTCTGTCCAGCAGTAGGCACTGTTCGTCCACTAAGGTCTGCTCCATGACTTGCCTCTGTGCTTCTGCTAGTTCCATACGCTTCATTCTCTCCTCCAACCTGGCACTCTGTAGCTCGGATAGCCCATCAACTGCTGAGCCCTTGGACAGTGAGCGGAATGAGGATTGGGATTTCCTGCTGTGGTGAGAAGACACTGAGCTTCGGCGTGAGTGTGGTTTCTCCCTTCGTGGAGATAGTTCCACCAGTTTGGGTATTGCAGCTGCTCCAGAATCAGCTGTAGTGGTCGATGCAGGCAGGGTTATGACTGCAGAAGGGGTTGTAACTGAAGGTTGATATCCAACTTCAAAGTTATCCAGATGCTGTGGTAGCCGTATCTCCCGCTGGGGTCTGGCTCGCACTGCTTCGTCAGAATGCAGTTGTAGTGACTCCATGTTGTCTACAGGGGGTGCTCAAATCCGGCTCGAAGGACCATGTGATAGAGTGGGATACTCTGGTGTGTGCTGATCTGGGCGCCTGCACTGTAAACGGGGCTCCGGTCAGAAAGAAGGGCACGGAGAAGGCTGGTACATCCAGATGGGGAACTTTATTGTGGATATGGAGGCAGTTACAGGTGGGAATGGACCCTGTATGGGTGGATTATGGGTGGGGTGAGTTAGTGTGTGTGGTCAGCGTGTGGTCTGGAACAAGAACAAGTACAAACGAACATTAGAATTTACATAAAGTTGGAACAATATTTACACTATTTACATATATAATAAAATAATATAATTATAACAAAAAACAAATCTAAAAGAATAAAATAACTATTTACACATATTCAGGACATTAACAGGTACACAGAAACGAGGTGGGGGATCTGACAGTAATTAGCGATCTTGTGGCTCCCTCTAGTGGTCGCGCTACGCCAACACACTAGAGGCGCCGCGTGCTCTGCAGTCACGCTGAGGTGTCAGGTTACACTCCCGCTATAAGGGCAGAGACAGGCCGAAGTGAAAGTAACTTAGCGAACTAAACTATAGAGAACGGAGAAGAATACTAATATGGTGGAACAGGCGATGAGGAAAGGGATATTAGTACAGAAGGCCATATTAGCAGATAATATAAACTATAGTATAACTATTTACAGGCTAATTACATAAATATAGTATTACAAACAACTCGAAAATATACATAGTGAACACAAACAAAGGGCAAGTCACAGAAATACAATTTTAATAGTACTACCTAGTAATGCAAACTTTCACACTTACTTCTGTCTTATGCACGCACACGTCTACTCACACAGGGGAACACAGCAGACTAACCAAAAGAGCAGAGGTGAAAGGGGGGGCAGGTGACCTCACTAGTGACGTCACATAGATTACCAAAATAAAATGGCCAAACAAATAAGACTTTCAGACACTATGACTTCAGTACTTCAGATGCTCCACTAAGTTTCAAAGCGCCCTTCACATTGAATGCTTGCTACTTCGTCTCACCGAGAGCAGACACTACATTACCCATAAGTTTTACGAGCGAAAGGCGCATGCGTCACTTTTACTGCTGTAAACAACTCAAAGTGGTGCTCGCGGGTGCTGGTCACCGCAACGAGTGACGAGCGGCTCTCGGGCTCTCCTCACACCAGCCGAGCGCTCAGAGACGCATTGACTACACCAGGAGTCTCCAACCTTTTTCAATCGGAGCGCTACTTTCATACAACAGAAGAGGCAAAGAGATACTCTTTTTTAAACCTCTATGTAATATTTATGACAAAACATGGAAAACAGATAAAATACCATAACACTGTATAACCCTGTACTTATAATAGATATGTAATGACTCAAAAGTGAATCATTCAATATCATGTGTTAAATTCTAAATCCTTTGGGTAGCTACCTGAATGGGGCTGGCAATATTCTCAATGTTAAGAATATTGAGATTTAATGAAAGAAAAAAACGTCCAGAATCAGTGTCAAACCAGTCCTCCTGGTTAGATACAAGTGCTATGTGTGTGTGGGTCTAATGTCAACAACCTTTTGTTCAACATTCTTTCACTGAATGCACGGTGGCTGAGTGGATAGCACTTTTGCTTCTCAGCAAGATGGTCCTACCACTAAAAACATGTACTATAGGTCTGGCATGCGCCTCCTGTACTGGCGATCCCACTCCCATCTCTCTGTGTGGAGTGGGAGACAATTGCCCACAATTGTATTTGCTTTGTTACTCTAGTCTGTGAAAGGCGGTATATAATTAAGATTACTTACTTACTTACTACTGTATATATCTATGTGATATATGGTAGCTAAGATATAGCTTAAATTGAATATAATAATGTCCTGTGTGCCTTCACAGATGTATGCGTGATTCTACGAGTTAATTTTGATTAGTTAAATGAAGGGAAATTACGTTAAACACGTTACGATCTAATTAAAATTGCATTTGTTTCAGTCTCATAAACTGGCGGCGTGGGTACTTTGAACCAAACAGAGAATTGTGTATTCTGTTATATATTATAACGTAGCAGCGACAACAACAACAACAATGATTTCAGCAATACAGTGAAAGTTGTGGGTCACAGTACAAACCCAAGTTACACCGAATCACACGGTCATTTAGCCACAAACAGCACATTCCCGAGGGACCTTACGTTGCGGTGCGTTGCGTCTTTGTTGAAGAAAAGCACGTAGTCTGTGTGGAAGTCTCGTTTGGAGCACGTAATGTCCACAGTCTCCCGTGAGGCCGTGGAAAGAAAGAGGGAGAGAGAGGCTGGGAGATACATGCTGAGCAGGCTCGTCTGTAGGTTCCGTTACGCAGCGCCGGCACCAGTGTTTCTGCACAAAGGCCCAGAGATCGGCTTGGCATGGGCAGATGTTCCCTTTGTCTTGGTCCAGACAGAGAGTGTCCAGGGTAATTTTTGGAGGGGGAAGTAGGGGCCAAACAGGGCTTTGAAATCCACCCCGCTCTGACCTCCTACATATCCCCCGGCGTGGATCTGCCTTCCCACAAGACTGATCCTATGACAGAGTTGGCGAAGAGCTGTGGGCGGCTCCCATTTGGTGATGCTGTCTGTTTGAGCGCTGTCCACGAGTGGTTCGGGGCAACATTTTGGTTTTGGTGTGACCCGGTGGTTAGCCAATGTTCTGCTAAGGAATTTAGGTCCTGGCCAATGGGCTATAAACCACAGTTTAGTTTTCTGGTAGGTGGGTAAAGTTTCCCCTAGGGCAGTTAACTAACTTTATATACTAATTCTAACTGGGGCTAGGACAAGTGATAGGTTTGCGCACCTAGCTCTCAAGTCGAGACCTTCTGACGGGGTCTGGACTTGGGCGTGTCCTTTTAAAGATATGTTTATTTGTTTTTGTTTTGTTTTGTAGGGGTCGAGGGATTAGTGAGCCCTAGATCTCGACCGGTGGTTTTAGTGACGTCTACCCCTGAGGTTTTGGCCTCTGGAATAGAGAGGGAGTGATCGTCTTGGGTTGGGTTCTTCATACTCTGGGTTGCTAGCCTGGAATCGCACGTGCAAACCATCCTGCGCTACAATGTTCTCACGGTTTCAGTGCAGACCTACCACTTTCTGTAGACGTCTAAGGGAGGATTTACTGGTTGCCGTGGATATCCCCATGTTAAAGGGGGTGTCCACAGCGGAAGCGGCACAGAGGAGTGTTCCGATAAGTGGTTTAGGTCTGGGGGGTGTTGTTGAGTTCTGTTTTAGTGACCTCAAACCTTTGTAGCTGTGCTGGCCGTATGCTCTGTGAAATGTAAGGCGGGGGTATTCAGAGGTTAGACGGTCAGGTTAGTAAGGTCTTTGATTAGTTTGCTGGAGAGAGGGTCAGTAGACGCTTCGGTGTGTGTGTGTGTGTGAGAGTGTGTTCAGTGTGTGCATGAGCTGTTTAGGTATGTGTCTGGGTGTGTTTGTACATATGCGTGTGTCCGTATGTTTCTCAGCAGGAGCCCGACAGAACAAACTCCCTGATTACGCACTTCTCAACTGCTGCTAATTTAAGACGACATCTTTGATAAATTAACTTTTATTTCCACACGTGCAACTTCTTCCAAACCTTGTTCTCCATTACTGTGAGGACGTGGACAGGTGATGAATAGAGTCTGATGCCCTGTTCTTCCAGAAATGTTTGGCTAAATGGAGCAAGGATAAATGTATGTATTAATCTGCAGATGTGATAAATATAGTGACATAATGGACCTTGTCACAAAAATAAAGGATTAGGGAAAGAATCGTGGCTGTTCCCCTGGGAGGTTTGTAATGGAGACACATTGTGCTTATGTCTGCGATAAAGACTTTATTTATGACAGCATGGATTATACTGTTGGAGAATTTTAAATCTCTATGTTGATCTGAATTACTATGTCTCCTTGTTGATCTGAAATTACATCAATCAATTTTCAAAAATGTCTTTTAAGGGACAGCAGAGAGCATGTGAATGCAGACACCTCTCTGCACTGTAGCCTAGCCTCATTTGAACCTGTCCCAAAGTTGCACTCACAAACACACTCACATTCACCCTGCCCCTTAGGTGAGGCAGGGGCAATCTTCACAGACACAGGGAGAACATGCAAACTCCACATAGACAGGGCCCCATCTGGATTTTGTGACGAATGTGAATCCATTATATATTGTTGCTGCAATTATTGCGTTTTGTTGTTGAGCCTGGGAAACTTTGAATCAGGTGTTACCCAATCCGCAGAGGGTAAATATTCTCAATCTCTTGCTTGTTATTTGAATGTATTTTTTCACAGTGAATACATGAGTCTTGGTACAGTTATTACTTGTCTCGCACCTCCCAGTGAGCCTCATTAGTTTCTGATTCATATTTCTATCATCACTGGTACAACACATTGTATATGCCAAAGAAAAGTGAAACATGTTATATCATTCATATTGTCTGACAAATAGCCAAGAAATCCTAAATCAAACTAGGGTGTGCAAACTGAACACAACTACAACTGAATATAATATTTCTAATTTCAATCATAGAGTGATACAACACATGCTCAGCACACACTGATGACTTTGAAATAGTTTGTCACTCACAACGCGCGTTGCTTTTCTAGATTGAACTAATGGTGTTTGCTGTGGGCTAAAATAACTTTGCCACAGGATTGAGGCGGTGGAACTCGTTAGACGCTCTGATTGGCATAATCAGGTTACGAGGAAGCTGAAAGCAAGCGCCAATCCACCGGCATTAGCGTCACAACGGTAACACCATCGCAACCGGCTTTCTAACAGCGTCCACAGAGAAGGGCCCCTGCTCCGGATCCTGGGGCCAAAGCCGACGGCAGAATGTAGAGGACTTCGGCTGAGCGGGTGCTGAGGGGCCAGCCAGGTGCGGGGATGAAAGCGCCAAGACGGATTGGAGGTGACAGCGCGCGATCAAAGCACTATCAGAGGCGCTGAAAAAAGACTGTCAGACGCTGCGCTCGCTCTTTTCAATAC